GAAGAAGTTGAATAAAAAAAATATACATAACTAATAATAAGTATGAAATAAGATATCTTGCTTAAAGGATATAAAATTTGGGTAAAAGGAAAATCTATATAGTAAAGTAGATAGACACCTACATAATATAAAAAAAATATAATTCATAATATATAGGCCTATAAAGAGAAATAATAAAAAGGAAATCTTAAAGAAATAACAAATAAGGTATAAGAGGGTTTAGAAACAAATATTAAATTTCATAGGCACATTGCACATCATTATTGTATAATTAAATGGCAGAGCATGTAGACATAATCTATATACGAGCATTAGCCCCGATGATGGGACTTCTTGAAGGATCTTGCGAAAGGCGAGTCTCTTTGAAAAATTTTCTAAGTGAAGAGATATCTCCGAGTCCCACTAGTACGATGAGAGGGCTCGGAGAATATCTTTAATAAAAGGTTTCTGCTTGTAATAGGTTTGCATTCATGAAAGTATTATTTTAAAAAAAAGTATAATAACAAAACAATAAGAGTTCAAATGGATAACTTAAGTGATTAATAAAAAGGGTTTCTTTTGAAAAAAAAAATTAAAGGTGGTTTATCAAACATAACAATTTGGCGCAAAGAGGATCATTGATTTCAATGATACTTGTACAATAAAGCATAAATAAAGAAAATGGATAGACAAGTTTGTTTTAAAACTCAAACTTGTTTGTGTAGTGAAGATTGTAATGTTGCAATGAGTCTATAATAGAGCAGTCAATATGGTTTGGTCCGGCCCAGCCAGGGCCCAAGTCCTTGTGGGCTGAGAAAATATGGGTTAGGCCGGGTTAGCCCATTTTTTATATGGGTCATCAAAACCTCAACCTAGCCCACCCATTGTTAGCCCATGGGCTGGGTTGGGCTAGTCTATTTTTATTTTTTTCAAAAAAAAACTTATTTTTGTAATTCTACCTAACAAATTTTCTATTAATAAAATTATTTTAGTGATTTAATTCATAAATTGAATAATAAAAGCATATTACAAATAAACAAATTACATCAAATACAAAAAACAAATAAATTACATAATAAAGTTTAAATCTTTAACACAAACTACTATCCCATAAATATAAGTATATAATCAAATAATAAAAATTTCAAGACTCATTTATATTCTCCTCAATCCTCATTCTCAAGTAAAATATTTAAATCTTCTTTAGACAGCAATGATATCTCAAGGTCTGAATCATTATCAATTTATCATTTAATATTCATTACCATAAAAGAAAAAAAAATAATAAGTTTTAATCTACATTAAAATTTTTAATTTGACAAGTAAAGATTAGAGACATTGAAATATATAAGATAATCAATACCATTGGTAACTAAATTATTAATTTTACATAGTTAAATATATAAAATTATTAAATTAATTAAAATTAATTTTTTCTGACCTATAAGGCTAGCCCGCCTTAACCCACCTCAGTTCACTAATTTGGTAGGTTAGCCCATTTAAGCCTGATTTAATATGGTCCTAAATTTTCTAACCCAACCCACCTCATATTTAATAGAAAATAAGTCGACCCAATGGGATATGCCCATTTTGACAGGTCTAGTCTACAGTCTAATAGCTTATGACAGTAGGCTCAATTTCGCATTTGTGTAATCTTATATTTTGTTATATATGAAATATGCATTTCAAAAACCTAACTCATGATAATCTGACTAATTTCAAAATGTACACCTGGCTAGCCATCATGGGCGGACCCTTGTTGGAAATGAGTGGTGTCACGTGACACCACTCACTTCTTAAAATATTTTAATTTTTATACAATTTATTTAAAATTTAGGGTAGTTAATATATTACTGAATTTATTATTTTTTTTACAATTTTATAGAGAATGGGGCCAAAGACTCCAAGGAAAAGTAATTTATAAAAAATTAATATTTAAATACTATAAGGAAAGACATAAAAATTTTTTTCTACAATTTAAGATTTTATTAAAAAAAATTAAAACATAAACTACTCTTTCTGTCAAAAAATTCAAGTTATTCCCCTTTTTGGTCCTTGACTATGTTTTTCACTTTTTCAAAACAGCTCATCTAGCTTCAATTGTAAGTAATTTTCAACCCAAATTAAGTTTTTAAATACTTCATATCTAAATATTTTTTTGATTTGTTTGATAATTTGGGTTCATATATAATTATAATATAGCTAATAGAAAGTAGTATTACATGTCAAATAATATTTTAAAATTATGAGTTTTTATTTTTTTATTTTGTAGATATATTATTTGATAATTTAATTTTTGTATTTAACTTTATTTGGTTTGTGGATATTTATATTTAGTTTTGATCAATGAATAGAAAATTTTCATATTGTTAGTTATTGAACCTGATAATTTACTATGTAAAATCATATTTTATTTTAATTCTAATATTTTAATTTATATTAATGAATAGTAATTTTTTACAAGTTTTATAATTTTAAATAAATAAGCCATGTAAAGATATTTTAAAAGAAAAGAAATTATCTCACAAGTCTCAAATTTCGGACAACAACAACAACAATAAAATTCTATTAATGATGATACTCAACAATATTAGTCTAAGTAAAGTCGTCTTAAATTTGATTTAATTACTCTCGCAATAAATTCTAGATTAAGAAAAAAAAAAATCTAAATATCATGACACCACTCAAAAAATTCCTAGATCCACCTTGCTAACTATGTTTTGGTATGATTCACATAAGGAAAGGAATCAATGGTTGATTGTAGCTTTATGATAACATTGCTTGGTAGACATTGAGCTAAGATAAAATATAACTCCGGGCACGTAATTAAGATTCTCACCCGCCTCCATGATTTTATGAGAACTCGTTAAAAAGCATTATGAGCACAACAATCTCTAACCGACCAAGCTTGCTTTTATGGCATAAAGAGAAATTTTTTGTGATTTCTGACTTGGGTAGTTTCGTTGATTCGCAAATTCATGAGGAATTTTTCCTAGAAAAAGTAATATCGGAATAAAAAAACAGAATGAAATCATTCTAAGGCCAGACTATAGTTCTTTGCTGCATGTTAAAGGAGATTGTTCTTCGTTTCAATGAAGAGTTCCACCAAACTTTCCAACCACGTCGATTTCCTTTCTCTGACAATCCCGTTTTTCTCTATAAAGTCAGCAAGGGCTTGCAGTATGAGAATGGGAACGGAAGAAATAAAGAGGGTATGGAAATTACGTCCTTCCTATCCTAACCAGCAATTATCGAAGTGGTGGACTTGGTTCTACACCCTTACTTGCAAGCCGAACGAAACTGGGCTCTCAGAGCACCCTAGAGGCAAAGGCGTTTTACAATTTTACATTTTGGGTACTCTTCGTTTTATCATGCAAAGCCCTGCAGGCTACTTCTACAAGACAAGCCCATTTGACTGATAAGAAGAAAATTCTCACATGGAGCACAATGAAAACCTGAGGCTATCAAATGCATTGACAATTTTTAATGAGTAATCAGATGGATCCTTAATGTCTAGACATAAAGGGGAAGAAACATAAAATCACTAATCAGAAGAAAATCTATAATGTGTACTACTTCTTCCTATGCTAAAAAGGAAAAAACAACTTCTTTGAAACCCAAGCATGTTGTAATTAATTTGGAGATGAGAACTAGTGATATAAATCTCAATTTATCTTATCTTATCCTCAATGGGAAGTTGGTAGAGTACTGCCTTGGCAGATTTTATATATGACCAATAAAGGTTTTGCTTTGCATGAGGAATCTATTTGTTTTTATTCTCTTCCTACACGAGCTTGGGACCTATTGATGAATGATGTTATGGGGGTGTGCTTCTCAAAAATGATTAGATTGTAGCGTTATTTCTTTTGTTTCTTTTAAAAAAATAAAATTCCATTCTTAAATTAAATGGTTCCATAGCTTATCAGTTGCAAAGGTTACGGAAAACCAAAACACAAAGCTTACAATAAAAACTAAAAACAAGTAATTTATTTGTATGTTGTGATGATTTCAAGATAAAAAAAATGATTTACCTTGAACTTAATAACAGAAAAAGCTTCATGTCACGATATAAAGGGATAAAAAATTGAAATCATTATTCAGAAGAAAATCTATAACCGACTTTAAATTCAAGTTAATTAGTCATATATATATATATATATATATATAATAAAAACTCTTCTTAGAAACTAAAGGAGGCAAAATGTTGACCGAACTCGAAAATTCATACAAATTAACTCAAAATCAAACTTAATCCAATCTGAACTCATTAGAAGTAGTCAAGGATTCAAACTCTGAAATAATGAACTCAAAACAAATACAAGGTTAGGACAAGTCAAATCTCAGGTGAACCAAACCCAAATCGTACGTAAGTAAACCAAACTTAAGATTATCCAAACTTGTCCAAATTCGCTTGAACTTGAAACAACTTGAGTTCGAAATTATTTGAACTTAAGATTACGTATATCAAAATGACTTGAATCTAAAATAATATGAATGGAGAGCATCTTAACTCGAACTTGAAGGATTGCCACCTCTATTAGAGATCCAGGCACATTGCAATTTGGACACGAGAACAAATGACACAATTCTCATTTTATGCTATGTCATTTGGATTATACGCTAGGTAGCTAGTGCTGGAATACGTGGATGGAACCCAAGACCAAACCCTAATTCGATGGAAATTGGAAGAGAGAGAGAGAGAGAGGGATCAATCTCATTCTCAAACCGCCCATTAAATGGAGAGAGTAGCCAGAAAGATTGGTGGAGGGCACGTTAGTCAGTTCAGGGGCTTTAAATAAGTATGACAAAAATGGAAACGCCATTGCCAAAAATGGTGTGAATTTGCACCTGCAAAGCTCTTTCATTTAGCTAAAACTACAACGTCCTCTCTGCCCTTTCGGCAAATTACAATTCCAATGTCTTTTTCCAGCTCAGAGAGACTGAGACTCCCCCATCCCCATCTCTCTCTCACTCTCTCTTTATAATTATCTTTAGCTTTAACTCCCTCTACTTTATATTGACAAAGAAAGAAAAGGGCTATCAGCCGTTTCCAGAGAGCAAGTGTGGAAAAAAAAAGGCGAAACACTTTGCCTCCTTTGAGATTCGGAATTTTCCGAAAGCTGAAGTGGCCGGAAGTGTGGCCAAAGCTCAGGTCTGTGTGTGGGCTTTTTCCCATCTGTTTTCGAAGAAAAATAGAAAGGAAAAACGCAACTGGGTCTCGGTTAGATCTTGTTAAATATGTTATGCAACTTGCTTTTTATAACAATATGGATTTACCTAAATGCATGGTTTCTTTTCTTAACTGGTTTTGTTATATCTTCTTAGATCTGTTGTCAGAGCAAAGGGAATCTTCTGTACTTCCTTTGCATGAACAAGATCTCCTTTTCCATTTCTTTCCCTTCCTTTTTCAGCAAAAATCATGCAAATTCTTGCCTTGCCAAACAACACCTGTGGGTATTCATGTTTCCGTTCCTGATGCTTTTTCTTCTTTGCCCTGATGGCCAACTTTTACCATACCTACACTTCTTTTTGGCTATATTTCATGGTTTGGTTTCGGAAATCTTTACAAATACTTTCAAATCTCTTCTAACTTAGTTTCTTTGGAGTTGATATCTTTTTCTCTATAAATTTTCTTGGATGCTCTAAAAATAACGTTGAGTCTGTGAGGGAACAAGAGCTCAAAGCAAGTTCAGGTCTACCATATGTGCACGCACACCCACACTGGAAAACGAGAGAGAGCGGGGTGGGGGGTGTTTGTAACTATGAAATAAGACCCAAAAATCTTGGTTCATGTTACCAGCCATAGATATTCTTTACTTTGAAAGTTCCTGGGAAGATAGGGTATGGGTAACTTTTTCTCCATGCTCTTCTTCCTACTAGTTGTTTTTTCTCAGTAGTTTTGTAGCCTTTATTACTTGTACATACGTCAGAAACAATTCATTATTCCGGATCTGCTTCTCCTCTCACTTCTTTTTCTCTTGGCTTAATTTTCAACACCTTGTTTACAGAACTCATACATCTCATCTTTTCCAAACCAAGGAAAAGAAAACCTTGTGTATGAGACAAACGCTAAGCGGGCAGGGGTATTGGTTGCAGGGTTTTGTAGGAAGTGATCTGTGAAGATGGGGAGAGGAAAGATCGAGATCAAGAGGATAGAGAACACCACCAACCGTCAGGTTACCTTTTGCAAGCGCAGGAATGGGCTGCTCAAGAAAGCTTATGAACTGTCAGTCCTTTGCGATGCAGAAGTAGCTCTCATTGTCTTCTCCAGCCGTGGCCGCCTCTACGAGTACTCAAACAACAAGTAATTAATCTCTTCTCTTCTCTTCTCTTTCCCACATCATGCTATATGTGGTCTTGCTCATTTGATCTCTTGCTTGTGGGTTTTCAATGTCATTTCCCTTTAATCAAATGGTAATAATGGTTTCAACATTTTCCATACAAAATAATTGAAGGAGACAATGTATTTTATGTGTTATTTTCCTGAGCTGAAAACAGAAAGGGAGCACAGAATGGAAGTCAGCCACATCTTAAGTTAAGGGCCTGTGACTGTTTGCTACCTTGGAGAGAGTCAGAAGCTATATTTCCTAGTATGGCAAAGAGATTACTAGCACTTCAGTATGGCTGAAAGTGATAGGACCAAAAATTCTATTCATTGGACAAAGGTCAACATAATTTTAATTAACATTCGAGTATTTGACTCATTAGATAGTGTATGATCTCTTACTTAAAAAGTAGAGTTTGAATTTCTCTTTTTTAATAAAAAAATTTTAATTTTTAATTATTTTCAGAATTAAAAATAAAATATTCTTCTCATTACCAAAGAAATCATTTTGAAACATTATAAAATTTATATTTTATTAAAATATTAAAAAATTTATACTTTAATTGTTGAAGGATTTTTTTAATCTTTTGGCTTTGAAACGATATATATTAAAAAAAATAGAAAGAACTAAATAAGATAAGAAATCTTAAATTGGTCAAATTTCTTTCTTATTTTGAATGTCAAAGACTCAATTTGAAAGAAAAGAGTAAGACTTTTTCAACATCTTGTTATGCATTTGCAGGATTACTTCATGTTGCTTCAAAATACATATACGCCAATAAACAATTTTTTTATTTTTGAAAGGTAAAGTTTTATATATTGATTGAAATGAGATTAATCGAATGTGATGTCAAGTCTATAACCATGTTCATCATGCTTTAGACTTAAAGCAGCATTACCAACCTACACTAGTCAACACTGCAAAAACACCAATAAATAATATGTATGTATGATATTAATTATTACCAATATATAGTTTGGTTTTATGACTTTAGTAGATGGATTAGTTTCATATCTCTAGCATTTATGCTTGTATGCACATTCATGTTACAAAGGGCTACTTCCAATATAGAAGTAAGTAAAGGTCCTCCAATGAATGAGTTTGGTCTCATTCGATGGTATATATGCATGTGCTGTGGTAGTTGGTTAGATCAGTGTTTTCAAAACTGGCCTGGACAATGTTGAACCGTTCAAGAATATTGAGGCTATTTCTTCTTCTGAGATAGTCAACCGGTTCTATCATTTTCATTGCCTAATCTTATAAATCATGATAATTAAAATATGTCTTTTTCTAATTCAAAGCATGTGTTTTGCTTGGTGGTTTGGCAAATTAACTAAATTAACTGACTCTTAGAGGCTGAAAGGTTCAAAGGAAGTATAAATAGGGTGATTAGGAAGGTATGCCGATATGTCACGTCAGCATTACAAGACATGAAATTATTAATTTACTACTACCAATTCTAATCAAGTTGTAATGCATTTTAGTTAGTTAATTCATGATATTACCGTATACCTAATGTGATATCTAACATATAGAACTTGAAACTTCAACAAAGAGATCTTCGGTTTCAGGAAAGCGAGGTTTATGAAACAAGAAAGTGCTTTCTCCCATTATTTAGTTCAAATCCAATGCCTTTAACATTTCCCAAAAATATTCTAGGATATTACCATAAAAATCTTGCCTGAACCCACTATATAATTAATTCATAATTTATTCCAAGTAATGTTGCATTGTAAAGGGTATAGTAGGAGGTAAGTAGAGGTTAGGTGTGGAGTTGCTTGGATTCTTCAATTAAATCAGGCAACATATTAAGATTTGTTAATCCCCATTTTAAACCTTTAATTACTCCAACTTTTCACTAGTAAATGAATCATTGTAAGCATGGAAATAGTCAATCAATGGAGAATTTAAATAAGAAACCTACACAATGAACATCACCTAATTAAATTTCACCTAGTAAAAAAAATGAAGAAAAAGTAAGGATAATTACTAAATACCATTCCATAAAAATTCACAATCGGATGTGTTATATGACCAAAAATAAATAGATTAGACCTTTGAAATGCAAGCATTGTAGATATCTAATGTAAAATTTTTGTACCAACATACCATGCCACCATTGGTGAGAAAGAGGGTCCATCATCTGCTAACTTTTCCATTCATAACGAAGCCATTATGAATTCATTGGCATTTTAGAATATAATTTGCTTTGGAGATACACTTTTTAGAACAAAAAAAGATTGATATGTTCTTGTTTAATTACTTGTTTAATACTATTTAGAAATAGATAAGAAAATAGTTTTAAGATTTATTTACATTGAAACAATTTTTTTGTTGAATTAAAATCTATTCTTAACATGAAAATTTGTATATAAAAAAAAGAGATTATATAAGGAGTAAATTGTATCAATTATCTATGATTTTGTGCTAATATTTTATTTACATATGTTATTATAAAGTTCAATTTTTAGACTTGCAATCTTTTAAAAGTATTCAAAATCCATCTACATTCTCAATCAGTGATAAAATCAGATGAAATCTAACACTTTAAAATCATGTAAATATCTATGTGGCAAAAACATGTAAGCCTATTTAACTTTTTTTTTTAGGACAATAGACAAAAAGAGGATTTTTTGACGAAATTTTTTTTGTCGGAAAAATTCCATCGACAATACTATTCATTATTTACAGATTTATGATGGAATGGTATTAAAATTCTTAGAGAGGCAATTTTCAAAAAAGAAATTTAAGTATTATGTTTGTATTTTTCATGCAATTTTCATATTAATAATGAACACTCATAAATTTAAGTATTACGTACCTTGCTCTAAATATCATAATCAAGAGCTAATTAAATCCAAAAACACTTGTGATGAAGCAAGTAATCCTAAAAGAGAATAAGAATGTATGAAATCCTGCGGTCAAAATCTTTACTTTTTCATTTTGAAGATTTGTCAAATCTTTAGTCATTCAAGTGTTTGGCCTCTAGCAGCAATCCATACAAGGACCAAACAAGATCTTTTCAAAAGTGGGATTTTACCTATGCTAGCAAGTTTTGTTTTTAAAACAAAAACACCAAAATTTCTTATCGAATCTTATTTCTATCAGACAAAAAAATTATTTTTTTTATGAAACAGTTAAGAAGTAGCTGAAGGCTCAGAGTTTTAGTTGGCTAACATAACGTATATATATAGCTAAACTAAATTGCAACCCTAGATACAAACATTTGTATTTTTATTCAATTAAGTCATTGTGAACGTAATTACTTTTTTCACTTTATTTTGATCTATTTCAATTAAGTCCAACCTAATTCATTATCTTTATTTAATCTCAATTATGTCACTTAATATGTGTGAAATATTAGGTTTCTAACATGTTGGTAATAAATATAAATTATAATCAAATATCAATTTAATAATTGATTTGTATTTATAGATCATGAACGGCATTTAACAATACATCATGACAACCCAAATGTTAGAGAATCAATTAAAAAATTTGACAAAACCCTTTAGTGATAAGCTTCTCAGTACAATACAATCCTTTCATCAACATCTTGAATATCTCATAAAGCATAGCTCAGTATCTACTTATGATATTCTATATTAGTTCTCATAATTCATGATTAATCTTTTGAATTTAAGAAACTAACTTTCCTCAAATTCATCATGCTTTGGCCAAAGACTTTATACAAGTTAACCTAGAATTGAGAACAAGTGAGATGCATCTCCTCATATCACTTGTGATGATGAATTCTCTCTTGACCACTCATCCATCTTCATATGCTTCATACCATATTTAAAAACACCCTGTTTAGGCATCTAGTCACCTCTAGATGTATAGGAGTAAAATCAAAGTATGTCATTCCCCATACAAGATAACCTAGTGTTTCAAGTGTAGGGACTAGTTGCACGACTATCACATGAGAACGTATTTCATAGATAGTTGAGTAAAATACCAAATGGAGTTCTCATAGTAGGCTATGTTCAGTGAATTTATTCTTTAACAAGCACCTACATATTATCCTCAAGTATCTCATATACTTCAATTTATGAGATCAATTGTTTACTTTCCTAGTAAAGAGGCATAACATGTACTAGCCTTTGAGCATTGTTAATGTCTTATCTTGACAATACAATGACTAGAAATAATTTTAGAAATATGGCTTTGATACATAATGATCTCATAATTGTAACCGTTTTACAATCCCCTTGCAAGGTCTTTATGTTCCATAGGCTTCATTCAATTAATATTTAATAACTCCTTATTATTACATTAATATAAAAAAAAACCTCTATCACATATAGTTATGCAATTAAGTATGCATTACATGACAATATATATTCATTGACTAATCTAATTGGATTAAGAACATATACCAACAAAAAGTCCATAAAAAAACCTAGTTCCTTTTTTGTAATGGGATTTGAGTAGTGGATGACTGAATGGATGTATATAAAATACTTTAAAATATCAAAAATTCAAATTTGAGTTTTATAAATTACGGATAAAATTGAAATATTACTCAAATATTATGAATGATATATAGTTGCATTTTTTTCTCTATAAAGAAAAAGTTGTGCATGTCTTATGAAAATTACCCAAGAAATAACAAATACAAAATCTTGAAAAATCAAGTAAACAGAAAAATAGAAGAATTTTTTTCTTTTGAAAAGAAAACAGAAGAAATTTTATGTGGTTCAATATCTTTCCTACATTCATAGTGAAATAATTCTTTTACTATTAAAAAAATTAAAATACAATAAAATCTCTCAATGATTTCCCAAATCAACTCAAAGACCATTTGTACAATCTCTTTCAATAAGCTTACTAGAACCTTCACTCACACTCACACTAGCTCCACCTAGAGCAAAGATAGAGTTCCAAGGTGTTTGCTCTCTAAAACTTTTAAAAACCCTACTTATCTTCTAAAGCCTACAAACCTATATTTATAATACAAAAATTCAAAATAAAATAAGATTAAGACTCAACTTAAAACAAAAAATTTAAAATATACAACTACTCATATTGTGCACAAACTAGAATCCTAGATGAATAACATTTTGAATTTTAGTCCATCCAAAATTCAAATTAATTTCCACCTTTGACTTGAATTCAAACTCCTTAAACTTCTTCCACCAATTGCATTCATTCTTTCACAATCGTCTATACCATGGAAACCTTCATCACCTCCTCAGTAAATGAAATCTCACTTTAGTAGCTAATATCCCCTATGCGTGTTCCCATCCCTTTGAGTTTTCATCTTTTAGATAATACAAACCATTATGCAAATTCCCTCTCATTAAAGCCATCTCGCATTGTGTGACTTTTATAACACCACCACTAGAAAAATATCCATACCGTTTAGAGTCTAATAGGTTCAATGTTATTAGATTCTACATATCTTTAGGATATAGGTCACATCACTCAGAAAACACGCAACACCATCAAACATTTTGATCCTTACAACTCCAAGACTCGTGACTTTCACAATTGACTTATCGACCAAAGTCAAATTCTGTTAAGCTCTTCTTGAAGGAAATCAAAATAAATAACATTTTTGGAAGCATATGTGCGTGACACAAGTATAATCTAAATACAAACTATCACTTGAATCAGCATCCATACCTTTTGAGATTGCAAAAATAGGATCGCAATCGTCATTGTTGTTAAATGAAAACGCATTTGCCTTTGTTCCCATTACTCTTATCTTCTTTTGTAGAACAATCTCTCTGAATATATTCATACCTTTTACGTCAAAAGTACAATACATTGTCAGATCTAGACTTTTCACCCTTGGATCCCTTAGTAGTTGATTTGCTCTTTTGAACCTTAGCCACCAATGTAAAGTTAACTAAATTACTACCCCCTTCCTTACTTTTCTTTTGAGTTTCAAAAGACATTAATGTTGTTTATGCTTGTTTTAAGGTTATTGTATCCTTTTCAAGCACTAAAGATTCCATAACTACCTCATAGGAGTCTCGAAGGGATATGAGAAACAACAATGCTTTCCTCTTGCTCCATCTTCATGTCAACCTTTTTTAACCGATCAATGATTCATCAAACTCGTGTGTATGCTTTATGAAGTCTTCATTCTCCTTCATCTTCAAGCAATACAACTTTCACCTAAGCTTCAACTTGATGGAAAGAATTTTCATCAAATAAACTTCTCCAATGTTGTCCACAAATTTAGAGTAGATTCCTCATCAATAACATGGTTAAACAAGTTTATTTTTGAAGTAAAGTTGAATAGCGCTACCATGCCTTGCCTCTGACTTTGCCCATTTTGTTGCCCTTTCTCCTTCCTTAGCAAAAGGCACATTAAACCTTTTTACACAAGATCTTTCGTCTTTTTTTGTCATTATGTGAAACTAATCTTTCCATCAACTTTTTTAATTGAGAAATTCATAAAACTAATAAATTTAGACATCTTTACTGAAACTTGATCTACCAAACTCAAACCTTTGACTAGTTTATTATGAAAATTATCAAAGAAACAACAAAGATAAAATCCAAAAGTGTTGGTTTGCTAGTACAGGATCAATTCTATTGTAGACCATGGGGGTATTATATAGTGTACGAGAGTTTTCTTTTCCAATATATGAATTGAATGATGACGGTATGTTACAACGAGTCTATAATTGATTTAGTTCAAGAAAAATGCAACACAATATATTCTGTCCCACGTCAATAACTAGCAAGAAAAATGCCTTTAGTTCAATTCACATTAACTTTCATGTCACATCATTAGTGAGCACTGAGGCCTCCACCCATTATTTTCTTTGTGGGCTTAGTAACATTCTCATCTCCCACAATATATTCTTATTCTTCAATTTCTTCTTTGATTATTCATTTGATTCCATCCATCCACATGAGTATCTGTGAGATTGTGGACGAACCTTTATTGGCCTGTACCAAACCGAACTTTTGACATTAAACCATAGCGACTTTCTTTCTTCTTTGCTTTTAACGAGTCCAAGTCCATGCAATAAATTATTATTTTCTATGAAACTTTTGAATCAGTTTCTTTTCCATTTTTAGCATTTGCATAGCTGATCACCATACTTTTCCCCATACTTCTCTTCCTTCTTCCCCATACTTCCTTCCTTTTTATGGCTTTGAAGATTTTCTATCCTTTTCTCTCATGGGAAGCGATCTAGATCCTTCTTAGCCTTATCTTTGGATTTTCACTATAAAAGGGATTGCAACTGTCCTTCGTTCTCTGCTTAGCCTTTCCTTTATTTCCCACTCCTAACATCATAAAGCAACGCTGGTTTGTACTTGGTTTTTGACTATAGGGTTTCTTTTCTTTAGAGTTCTTTTTGATTGAAAGAGTAAAAGGTAACAAATTATATCAATGTAGCAACACAAGCTAAAAGAAGTAAATAACCTAAACCTATTATTAAATTTCATTATTTTCATGAGCATGTACCCTCCATAAATAGGTATCCATGACCTCTTTCCATATGCTGTCCCTTCCTTTCTTTGCCCATTTCCTTTACCTTTTGTTTTCCAGAGTAATACAAAGAATTGAATATGGATCGAATTATGCATTTTTTTTTTACTTTAAAAGATACGTATATGTACACGTACACTCATATATGCTGAAACATTTATTTCATTGTCATATTTTTCTTAAAGCATAAGAGTGTTTTCATTAAAGAAAAGTAGTGGTACAGGACAGTATAAGAAGAGATATGAATCCCCTTCTTTACTTCACTTGTGTATAAAAAGCAATAACAGAACGAATCTAGTTGCAGTGAGATCAATAACAAAACTAGTCCATTGCCATATAGATTGAACTATGATGAAGTGTTCTTCTTGCTTCCAGCCAAGCTGTCATGTTGCTCCTTTTAATTTATGTTTTTTGCTTTGAGCGGTTGTTCTTGTTCCCTCTCTTTTGTACATTCAATTTATCTATAAATATCATTTTCTTGGCTGAGATATATATATATATATATATATATATATATATATATATATTGAATCACCAAAACAATTTGATTCAATCTGCATGAATTATAGTCCTAGTTGACCCAAAAATCAATGTCCAAAATCTCTTATAACTCGATTTAGATATAGTGATCCAAAAATCGAAACAACTTAGACTTCAACTGATTCGTATAATTGCGACACTCTTAACTCAAACAGCGGAGAATATAATAAGTATATGCATTTAAGCTTTAATAGGAAAGAAAAAGCACAATGTGTGTATGTTCTATTTGTTTAATTACATGCTTATTTATGCTTATATTCTTGGATGCAGCATAAGATCAACAATAGAGAGGTACAAGAAGGCATGTTCAGATAGTTCAAACACAAACTCGGTTACTGAAATCAATGCTCAGGTAAATATTTTCAAGCTTTCTTTATTATTGAGAGGAAAAGGAGACAGTAGTATCTCAAAGCCAAGGCACATACTTTGGTGGTAATCCTTTCCAGTTTTATAGTGAATATGAGATTTTCAGTCTAAACTTGAATAATTTGATTGATATCTCCTTCAATGATTACTAGGTTTTGGACATGTGTATTGTGGCGCGTGTAATTTTATATGTTCGAATTATTTTTTTATAATATTTAATGAAAGAAAAATTATAAATTAGTAGTAAAGTTTTTAAACTCTATAAGCGGGTTAAAGAATTAACATGTATCATATTAAGATGTATTTTTAAAAGTTAATAAATTATTTAATTATTAAATTAAAATATTATGATCTTTAAAAACTCCTTTATTAGTCTATACAATAATAACCTTAATCTAATTGTTAAAATTATGAAAAAAATTAAGTGTACTAAATTAGATAATTTTAATTTTATGCAAGTATTTATTTAGTATTCTAACTTAAATTTTTAGGTTAAATTATATAACTACTCCCTATACTCTATAAAATATGTGTATTTAATCTTTATATAATAATGTGTAAATTAAGTCTATGTAGCTTTTCAATTTGTTAATTTTAGTCCAAATTCTGACACCATTAAATTTTCACCGCTAAGTATGTTGGCATAGCCTTTTGACCAAATTAACATGACATTTATTGAGATGATGTGGTATTTTTTGGCTGATTTGATGTTGATTAAGTGATGACTTATCATTTATTATGTTGACATGGCATTGATTGGATCGACAATAATTTATGAAACTATGGTAACATGGCACTTGCTGATGTGGGGAGAAATGCAAACAGCTACAATGGACAAAACCCTACCTCGCACATCAATAATTAATCTTGCCACATCAGCAATTCTCACCATGTCAGCAAGCACCATGTCGGCATAAATTATTTTCAATCCAATCAATGTCACGTCAATATAATAAATATCAAGTCAGCACATAATCAACATCATATCAACAAAAAAATGTCACATTATCTCAATCAATGTTATTTTAGCTTAGTCAAAAATCCACGTCAGCATATTTAACGGTAAAAAGTTAATCATGTTAGGATTTAGATTTAAATTAATAAATTGAAAAAGTATAATGACTTAATTTATACAAAGATTAACTTTACATTTTTATAGAACACAAAATTAATTACATAATTTGAGCAAATTTTTTGCTATAGTGTGAATTAAAGCTAAACACACTAACTTAACTTTGATCTAAAAGTAACCAATTAGGTATCTCCATCTAAGTGTCTATTATTTAATGATGATTTAGTTCGGTTAGATTATTTATTTTGAGATGGTTTAAATTAAAAAAACTATTAGAACTATTAAATTAAAGAATAAATTGTTAATCCCTTACAAAAAATAAATTATTAATATTAAATTTTTATAAAAATATTTAAGTAAGTCACTTTTAACTTTTTCTGAAATTGACATTTTTATATAAAGAAAGGAAAATAAAGTATAATGTGGAGTGATTCTTTGTTTTTTGTCAGGGTATAGTGGTTAAAACAAGTTCAACATTATACATGTTTGGTCCAAAATATGCATACATTTCAAGTTCCTTTGCCTTAAATATGTTGTTAATAACAACAATATGTAGCATGGTTATGCTTCTAATTAATTAAGTTCTTACTTCAAAGAGTAGAGTAGCTCTACAAGGGAGTACATGTGTTTTTCCTTGTAGTCAAACAGTCATTTTTTTTTAATAGGAAAAGCTTACACAGTGGCACACTTGAAAAAATGAACTGAAAAAGAAAACACCTAATATAGAAAAAAGCCTTTGACCACATAAGATATACATTAACTCCATTGCACATAAAGCCACAAAAAACATGTAAACAACATGCCTCAAATGATCACCTAAAGACACCAACAATCTGCAGCTTGAATCCAAACAATAATATACACTCATCCTGAATGTGTATGCATCTATGTCTGTTCTTGTTGCACATATCGAATCACCAACACGCATTGAACATATTAAGTGGGCCTATTTCCATTTTTACAAGTGCATTCGCGAAGTAATTAACCTCTTAGTAAATCATCTTGTATCTATAAATCTATGAGGGGCATGAGGATCTTTTCTGACCATATTTTTTTTATTAACTATGTATATATATATGAATAATAGACCTCATATTATTGCATGAATATGCATGACAAGAATCACCATTTCTACAAATTTGCTCCATGACAGAATCTTACTTTTTCTTGCTATTTTAAATTATCAACTGGGTGTAGTATTATCAACAAGAATCAGCCAAGTTGAGACAGCAGATTCAAATGCTTCAGAATTCTAACAGGTAATATCCTTGAATGATAATAATCATATGAACAAAGAAAAAAAAGGAGATAGATTTATTTTCGGATACGCATGGATCGCACGTATATTTAATCAACTTTCTTATATAAGTTGAAAAGGACAGATTAAATTATGAGGAAAGCAAGTTTGGTGATTGAAGGAAAGGAATCGTTTATGTTGATTCAATGTTGCTTATACCTTTCTATCCTTGTCAATCTGAAGGCACCTAATGGGAGATTCCTTGAGTTCCTTAACTGTGAAGGAGTTAAAGCAGCTAGAGAATAGGCTTGAACGAGGCATTACTAGGATCAGGTCAAAGAAGGTAAAACATCACAACAAAAATTTAAGGAAATACCACAGTTTCAATGTATCAAACCAATCAATCATTGCTGTGAAAACTTACGTACTGTTTATCATGATATGTACTTCATTATCAATATTATTCACATAAACCTACAATTATATCTGTACTAGAGATTCAGCATCTAATAGAACTCATTTGTTGCATTCAAAATGGTGTACATGGGTTGCATTCAGCTAGAATTATGATCCATAGATTATGTGTAGATACATCAAAACTTGTTCATGACATGCTTCTATGACTAACTCTCATATTTAGCGTCTATACTGTGTTTTTCTTATTATCTTATATAAGTAACTCTTCTTTTCTGTTTCTTTTTGCTTCAACAGCACGAAATGCTGCTAGCTGAAATAGAGTATTTGCAGAAAAGGGTGAATCCCAAATTTCTTATGACTTTCCTAGCTTTGCTTAGTCCTATTCTATATTCTATGACATTTGTTATGACTCACTCTGTATCCTTTGCTACCTTGTTAGGAAATCGAGTTGGAAAATGAAAGCGTTTGTCTCCGAACCAAGGTAATTTTACACCGTGCTGTATCCCAACACATTCATTTTTTTGAAAGATATGTTTTTCAATGAAGATTACATAAGTGTCGAGTCAAATCTAACAGAATGAAAGCTCATCACTCAACAAAAACAGCATATATACTCTCTCTAAAAACTGTTTAGCAGAGTTTCGTATTCTGTTAATTTCCCATGCACGCCATAATTCCTGGATTCAATACAACACAGCTGCCTTATGTTTCCTTCCCAGGTGTCTTACACGTGAGACACCCTGCATCTACACTTATGCAAGAATTGCTTTGCATGGATACCATGAATGTGTGTAATAATACATTGTTTTGCAACTCCTTAGGATTGAATTACCAACCTTGGCCCATAGGCTCCAACCCAATGTGAGCTGGATTTTGACTTAAATATAAATAATGGAGGTTAGAGATGGGCCTAGCCCAAAAAGGTTATTATATTAATAAAAAATTTATTTCATTTAATTTTAATTGTAGAATAAAATTATTAAAATATATTAATAATTTTTTTCATTTGAATAATAAAGAAATCATGTAAACAAGTGAATCTGGGACTTGGACTTGGCTTCTAAAAATGTTGGCCCAAGATTTGACTCATAAACATCTTTAATTATACATAATTACATATGCGCGTGTGTATATATATATATATTATGAAAACATGAAACTTTTTGCACTCTACCACAGCCAAAGCTTATTGATGTAGATGTATAGATAATTACTAACACAATGATTTACAGTTCCCTAATTACATCTAGTGAAAGGAATTATAGCATGTTTAGTTCACTACAAAAAAATTAGCTTTTTTTGACGGAATTTTCGGTCGGAACAAGTTGACAATCTATTGAAAATACGTATTTTCAATGGAAATTTTCGTTAGAAAAATCCGTCTGTAAAAGCCCCATTGGTAATACTTTTCGTTGGAAATCCGTCAAAAATTTTTAACGAAAAATTCTGTTGGAAAATTCTGTTGGAAACTATGTAAACAGTCCAATGTCAGTCATAAATTTTCGTTGAAAATGAATTTCCAATGGAATTTCGTTACAAATTTCCAACGGAAATTTCGTTGAAATTGATTTTTCAACGGAATTTTTCATTCGACATTTTCAACAGAATTTTTCGTTGAAAATTCCTTTCCAACGGAATTTCTCGTGGGAAATGGTGCACCGGAAAATTCTGTTGGTAATTCTTTTCCAACGTTTGTGGAATGGGATAGAAGGAAAATGGAATAGTTATCATATAAAACTAGAATAAAGTGAACATATATAGAATAATTATTATATAGTTTGTTTCATAGTATTTTAATTTTTTATTAACAAAATAAGTTGGAAATAATAAAAAATAAGTGATAAATAAAATGGCAAAATTGTCATTTGTTTAATTTAATAAACTTTTTGGAGTTTTTGAACGTCATTCTTTATACTATGTGTTATTATTGAATTATTGATTATTAAAATATTAAGATTTGGAATTAAATATTAACAAGAATTTTATTTTTATTTTGTTTTATTCTTTCTCTATTTTCGTTTCTCTCGTTTCAATTTCTTTTTTTCATAATTTTATCAAAATTTTATTAATAAATAATAATTTATTATTAACATATTACAATTATTTTTCTATTAATTTCTTTGCTCTCTATTTTAATTTTTCGATTAAAAGGGGAGGGAAATGAATTGTGTCCTCAATGTAAAAGTTTATACTACAATTTAAGAGGTGACAACATACACTAAATATTTGGAGGAATTGAGGTAATATGATAACACAGTATTAGCAGTGGTGAAGCTAAGATGGTGGCGGCCGTTATTTTTTAATTTTTTAATTTTAAATTCTTTTAATCATTATATAGATAAAAATTGAGATATATAGATTCATGATCTTATATAATTACTCTGTAATCACCTTCCAAGTAAAATTTTAAATCCACCTTTGAGTACTAATATAACACAGTGAAGTCAAAATGTGTTGCTGATTAGAGATAGAATCCATATATATTTATGCATTTATTTGAAATGTTAGATTGCAGAAATTGAGAGGCTACAGCAAGCTAACATGGTAACTGGACCAGAGCTAAATGCCATCCAAGCATTAGCTTCTCGCAATTTCTTCAGCCCAAATATGATTGAGGGAGGAGCTGCCTACCCTCATCCTGACAAGAAGATCCTCCATCTTGGGTAACACTTATTTCTCTCTTGCACTGCAAAATTAAGAGATGGGACTCCTAATTCATGATTCTTTTTGTAACATGCATTTGCAGGTAGAGATCAGTTGGACAACAAATCTGGAAAAATGGTGTTTTGATATAATAATAATAATAAATAAGCATTTGAACCATATGTAAAAGGATTATGAAGTTATTGTGATGTAACCCTTTACTTGTTATGTGCTTGATTTGGAGTAGCACTCTTGACTTGTAAAACATATTATGCATATGGAGTATGGAGTATGGAGTATGGACATGTTTAATTTGCTTTTATTAATTAATGCCATAGACCAGAAACCATCAATTATGTTAAGTAATTTCATTCTCCAGATTTTATAGCAGCATTTGAGTATTTCACTTAATAGTTGTATTTAAATATTTTTTTAATAAAATTAAATTATAACATAAAAGTAGAAAGATAATAAATTTTTACATATATATATATTAGAAAAAAAAACAAATTATCCATTTAATCACTTTAACTTTTTAAAAATTTCTGTTTTGATCATCCAATGTTGAAAAATAAAATTTGATTCCTAATATTCATAAATATTAATTATTTATTTACTTAATTATTAACATTTAATGATAGTTTGACGTGACTTATCACGTCAATCGACTTTTAATTATGTGGCTGATAAATTGATGTAAAAACATATATAATCCATAGTGCTCAACACTTTAATATTTACACAGGTATAACTTAAGTTGGTTAAACAAGACAAGCTTGAGTTGCACAAGTGTGAACACTAACACTTTAGGATTTAAATAACTTTAGCACTTCTAAAGAATTGAAATATTTGCAATCACATAATCCACTCCAACAGCTTAAGAGAAAAGGAGGGACTGTTGAGTCAATGGCTATTTCAAAGGATGGCACATCGACTTTCAGCTTGGTTGCGGAGCTCCTCAGTCTCCCTCTGTGCTCTTTCCAGATTCTCTCTCAGCTTGCGAATTTCATCGTTCGATTTCATTTGAGCTGCCTGTGCCTGCTGTTCCGCCTTCAGCCGCGCTGCCTGTTCCTCTGCTAGTTGCTGCTCAAGCCTCGTGGTTGTCTCCTTCAGCTTTGACTCAACCTGTACGACACCATCATTCTTTAAGCAGAAAAAAGACTATGAAACGTTTCACTATGATGACTGAAATGGCACCAAAATTCTCTCGACAAACCAAAAAATAATTAGTGAAAACTAAATAACCATTCACATCCATGAACGTGAATTGTTAAAAGGAAACAGTTTAGACATTCCCTGCTAATGAGATACTGGATTTGACCCGGGTAAATTGAAACTAACAAGGACAGTCTTCATTAGCAGCACATCAGACCAACGCTTAGATATAACAAGTAAGCAATGATTCTCACATGGCAATGCCCAGCCATAAGTAAACTTAAAGTAGGCGAAGAAACAATGGAACTTGTGAAGAGAGTTTATAAATATTGGTATAGATGGAAGGCTATGAATAAATATTGGTATAGAGTAACAACTACATTTGATGGTAATCTAAACTATGTTACTCCTAATTTTCCCCTTTTTTTTTAAGTGCCCATATCAGACACATATCCAGCAGACATGACTTAAGAGGTCCAACCGTCCAAATAAAAAAAAACCTACGAAAAAAGTTGAACATGCCAATGTCAGACACATACACATATATGATCTCACCCTCAAGTCCCGAGCAACAAGGTCTAAATGAAAGAATATAAACATGAATAGACTGAAAATTAGTCAAAGCAAAAAAGTACATCAACAGATCAATGCCTCTACTCCTCAAGTAGAATTAGATAAGGCCAAAATGCAACACATTGGGAACAGTCAACACAGAAATAGACTGACTCAAGAGAGTCCTTGCTAAGAACAATTATGAGGGCTATTTGAATGGGCACATCAGAACAAATAATGCAGGATTTGCAAGGGTATGATTATGGAGATAGAAATGAGGAAGGAGACCCAAATTGGAAGTTTGCAATGGCATGCCGTACCTAGTGTTAGCTAACGATTCTTTTAAAAGGATCCAGATTTAATAACATCAATCTGAAAAGATACCAGACAAGCTGAAAAGGAAAGTTTGTAAGTTATACAAGCATTAATAGTAGGATATCAGCCAAATTGAAATGATTTCTCTTTTTAACTCTACAAGCCACCGTACTTCACGGCACAGATTAAGGAGCAGTTAGAAAAAGGACACACAGGTGATTGCTGTATTTAATAATTTTTTCTAAAAATTTTTTATAGCATTGATAAACTATAGTTTTAATGTTAAAAAGTAAAACATTTATTAAATATTAGTATGGAACATAGAAAAAAGTAAGAATTGTAGGTGTTCAAAAAGAAAAAATGAACATAGCCATGGAACAGATTAAAAAGATAAGACGAACATTCAATTTGAAACAGAGAGAGTACTTTTTAAAAAGATGCAATGCAATTAGATGAGCTGAGATGGGAGATGATGTCAGCATTAGAAAAGCAACATTTTCTCTTCCAAAATAAATCGAAGTAAATGCAATGCACCGTAGGCATTTTCAAGACAACAACCCTATAGAAACAACTTGAGATGAATAACTAACAGGCATGTACCATGACTGCCCTCCTCTTGACTTTAAGGAAAAGAAAATAGCTAAAATGCAAATAAAAGAAAGATACACAAGAAATGACACCTGAATGTAGTGGGAACAGCCTGATAGAGCACATTGGCAGCAGCCTGCAAAGGTGTTTAGAAGGCATACTGAGGCTGGTTCTAAGACCGAAGCCTTAATTTGGCACTTGTCCTAAGATGAGAAGCTTATTGGTTTCTTTGAGTAGGCATTATTAGTTGCTTTTGAGTCATAGATTTAGGTATCTCTAACCTAATATTGCATGTTTTTGTTTTATTTTCAATTTCTGGAATTTTAAGTGTTAAAGGTCAGTTATGTAATCTTTTGAGAAGCTGGAAATTGAAGATTCATTATTCTAGAGTCAGTTTGGGTTTTCCTTCTATATTGGGTTTTTATTCATACTTTAGGTCACAGCAATGGGCCTCCTCTTATTTTAAGGAATCATATACGCTAGAAAGATCTATAAGATTGAGATGTAAACACAAATACACATCACCAATAAGAAAGAAATTCAAATTACCATCAGTGTAATTCGCCTAAGCTGCTCTTCATATGATCTTTCAATCTGCTCCTTCAAATTAGATATTTCTCGCTTAGAGTAGCCTTCTAGAGAAGCAACCTCTTGTTGCTGATCACGGAGTTTAGTTGCCCCTTTCTGTCCAATAAATACAGTCTCTCACATCACTGCTTTATACTAAAATCACCGCAAACTGAAAGAATGTAAAGACACTGACCTTCAGTTCAACAAACAACTCATCAGAATAAGGTTGCCCACCATTCTTTGCTATGACCATATTCACAAGTGAGAGAAGATCCTGAACTTGTTTTGCTCTCTTGGTTTCATCCTTAGTCTTGTTGTCAAAAAGTACAAGCCGGTTTCCACAAAGAACTAAAATATCCTGGTCAATTTGAACAGAAAAGTAAGTATCTGTTGCTATTGCACATCAATTGTGATTAAGTTCCAATATGCTCACTGACAAAGTACTTAAAACTTCAATATAAGACCAGAATTATATGAATCAGTATCTACATTGATAAAGATTATATCGGTCGATCAGCACATTTAGCAAGATATGATTTTCTGAGAGCCTAGCATTCTATGCTACACAAACATACCCCCATTCTCCAACCAATTTCATAGCATTGAAAAACATACTGCTTATAAGAAGTAGAAGGAAGAGTCTGCCTATTCCCCTTCAACCAAATACATTAAACAAAAACTTATAGGGCCACTACACCAAATATTAAGCTTTTTTCATCAACCACTTTACCATTTTAATAAGACACGCCTAATGAATAAATTTTGGCAATAAAATACTCTAGATGCAATGAAAAGAAAATACCACAAAACCCAAAAGAATATTCAACATGATATAAGGAGATCAATTGATTCCCAATTATTTCTTTTATACTTAAGACAGAAAATGCCCCCGTCACGAGCATGTCATTTATAAAAACCTCTGTCAGCTATGCGGACAAAGGCAACCTTTTGGAGGAACCTAAGCAATAAAATCTTCTTAAACCAAACACTTGTGTATCTAGCAGCCCTCAAACAAAGATAAAAGAACAGATCATAAAGTTGCCATCCAACTCAAGCTCTAGTAACTCTGATCTCTAACCCAAACTGGCATACATAATATAAATAATCCTCCAACCATATCCAGTTCACATTCATGAAAAGTGCCAAAATGTTAGTGCCACCTAAATTTCACACCAAAGCCAACCAAATAATGAACTTTTACATTTCGTCAAATCAATAAGCTAAAAAGATAACCACAACATTGATCAGTACAGACAAGCTAATAAGCTCATGTGTCCAGAAATGGAGAGACACAAAGAAAATGAATTAAAACTCAATAAAATAAAAAATTTGAACTTTAAATCTAAGCAAAGCACTATACCTACATAATTAGAAAATGTCAAACATGATATTAAACCTATTAGGACCCCAATTTTTCCCATCACTTCATCAGGATTGTATTCTTCAAACCTCAACAAATAAGTGAACTGAACACAATAAAGTCTGCCATAATTGAAAAAATCAAGTTATATTCTAGTTTAGGAAACAACCTTTAATGGCTGCGGACACTCACGGCCCAAATAATCTTCCAAGGTTTCCTCGTTATCTGCAAGCTCATCCCCACCAGTAAACACTACAATCATGTAGTCAACAATTTTGCTTCCAAACAAAGTCTGCAAACTACGCAAAGCTGCTTCCTCTTCTTTTGAAAAGCGGGTCCTAACTGAGAAAACCACAAGAACTGCATGGATACCATCCTTGGCAAGATCAATACATTTGACAATTTCTTTGCCAAGGAATTCAGATCCAACTGAAATATCAAACAACCCTGCAATGACATGTTAAATTAGTCCTCTACATATTGATAACCTCGGAAAGAATAGTCTTTCAATGACAAAGTCATTGATTCTACTATAAATAATATGATTGGAAAAATAATACAAGTAAGACACCATACCAGGAGTATCAATGACATTAACAATTTGCCCATCTTTGAGCGTTGTTGTCCGCAATTCACAAGTACTAGTAACGCCAGATGAGCTAGCCCTTGATTTGAAGGACTTTCGTCCAAGAATGCTATTACCAGTTGCACTTTTCCCATTGCCCGTACGTCCAACTAAAACCACAGTCCTGACTCCATTGGAAGGTGAGGTAAACTCCCAATCATCATCTATCGCACTTCCACCCATCTTACAAGATTACCTGCTACATGGGAAAACACTTCTACCCTTGAGACCACTAATCTGACCATTAATTGAATTACAATAATGGATCTCATCAGTTAATAAAGCAATGTTCCTTATTTTTTTTCAATACCACAAACTTTACAATAATATCTGAACCAAACAAGGAAAGCTACTCAACTCCAACCAATTAAACTAACAAATAGAAAAGATAAAACAGATTCAAAAGTCAAGAAAATGAATTGATAAAGTTCTAGCGACCATTGAACTAACTTAAAAGCCCCACTCATATTAAAGCACGTAATTTCATCTTTATCATCGATAATTACAGTCGACCAAATTAAAAAATTCTCTAAAATTCTAAATATTTACAATAAATTTAAACCCCACAAAAAAAAATGGGGCTCATACATCAAAGACTGAACTCCACTGCAGCCATGAAGATGCAATTAGATGAATAAATTAATAAATCGTAACGTTTTTCTTTTGATCAGCGAAGGATCGAGTTCTAAAAAAGAGTCTAAAAAAATAACCTTAAAAAATGGGAAATTTTCAGGTGGGTTTTAGGACCGAGTTTGTTTCGGCAGAAAATCAGGCGACATTAACAGGAAGAAAGAACAAAATCTCAATATAAGCTGAGATAATCGCTTACCGGAGACGGAAGAAAGCGAGAACAAAAAGATGTAAGACTTCAATTAAGAGGAATGAATATATAGATATATACACACACGTAGGAGAAAGAGAGGAGGAAACTTCTGCTTAGGGATAACCGGGACTGTTTGTTGACTACGTGCGTACTAGATTTACAGTAAATGCCCTTTATGCAATTCGCCCAACTAAATATTGAGATAGAAATAGTTATTATACAATTTAACTCATAGGATTATTTAATTAAATATAATTTTTAAATTATTTTAAAAAATTTAAATAAATTTGTATTTTTGTGCTTAATTGAAATTTTTATTTTTATTTTGAGTTAAATAAGTTTTTGTGGTTAATGATTTTTTAATTATCATTTGTTAAAATGTTACTTATTATTTTATACCATGTGATACTGATACAATGTTGATATAAAAAATAAAAATATCATATGATCAAATCATTATACTCCATCGATATGTTAGATCATCATTTATTTATTACAACATGTCAACGTCACATGACATATAATAACATGTGACATTTTAATTAAAATAGTAATTAGTTATAAAAATTTGTTTAGCTCAAAATATAAATATTAGAATATATTTAACTTAAAATAAAAATTTAAAGATTTAATTGAACGGATTAAAAAAACTTATTTAAATTTTCTTAAATAATTAAAGAGTTTTTTTAAGTATTATGTCAATTATTATTCTATATTATTTCAATGGGTGAGGTTATTGGCACTCTTAATTGTCGATTAACACTCCCTATTAACAACTTATAAGTCTAATTTTCTAAATTACCCTCATTTAACTAATTTTTTATTTAAGTCAAATGTTAATTAATGATATTACCATTAATCTATTCACAATCCTATTTAATCTCAATTATTTATAGCTTTCTCTATATGCCTTATGACTTTTCATTTCTTCATTTCTTCTCCAATAACAATCAATTCATTAATTTTAAAAGAATCTAACAATGGAGGAGTAGTAGATTGATGATGAAAACGTAAACTTCAATGAAATCTCTTGACCTAATGATGAAAATAACTTGAAATTGGAGTTAAATTTTTATATTGGCATGTTTTCTTTCAGTATGTTCTTCTTTTCTTTGTTTAAATAATTTTTTTTCTTTTAAAAATTCTGCTCAACATAAATTTTTTTTTTCAAATTTACTTCTCTATATAATTGTTTCGTATCTGTTTTAGTTGAGATATATAAAGTTTAAGTTGGATAAAAAATTAATGAAAAAATTAAGGTTGAGCAATGGTTTTGGCCAAAAATAGTTCGATCAATCAACTCAGGTTAAAGAGTTAGTTGATCATGGTAGTTTAGGCAATTGATCTGTTTGACCGTTGATGGGGAATCCTTCCCTTGACATCGACCGAAAAATCGACTCTTATAAAGTGAAAGGCTAAGGTTTAACCATCATAACCAAGGATCAACTGGCTTGAAAGGCAGCCAAAGAAACAATTTAAAGTTGCAACTGATTAAGAACCCCATCAAGAAACCAAAGTCACTTGAGAAATTGCCAACGACGATAACGAAAAAGATCATAACAAACACTCATTGCAAGGCATGTCTTTAGGAATAAGGTAAGAAGATACAAGCTTTTGGATGAAATTTCAAGTTAAAAAAAAGACTCCAATCCTTATCTAAAAAAACGAACATACGTACAGAGATGGTGATGGTTTTATCATCTTGTGAGAAATTTGCAACCGTTAGAATCGACCGCATAAATGAGCAACAATGGTCAATCATAGTTTGATCAGCTTTTCCTTTGCCTCAATTGGTGGTATGTAGTTCTGCCACTCTAGTTGGCTTGATTGGTTTGGAACCAAACCACCTGATGCTCCCTCTTAAAGGAAATTAAAGCAAATGTTTAAATAAAAAAATTAGCCCAAATTATCATGAGCAAGTTTAGATGTTAAATCTATAACAATTTCAAGGTTCAGTGTAAGTGGAAGTCTCTTAGATTGTGTATTATTATGTACTTTTTGATTGATACACTAAAAGATGTCAAAATTTTAGTTGGCTATTTTGAATGGTGGAGATTTCCGTTAATTGTGGCAAGACAATAATCTCACTCCAATCTATCATAATTTTGATTAATTGCATTTGGTTCTTCATGTGTGTTTTCTTTAAGATAAGAATATCATAGTATCTTGTGATAGTTAAATTGTTACATAACATTTTATTAAGACAGTTAATTTGTTGTGGTAAATATGTGATGTGAATTTGAGTATGGATTGGTTTGTTACCACTTTGTCTTCCATAAAACATTGAAAATTCATAGTAGAAGCTAAAAGGTGATTTTGTAAACTTGGAACATCTAGTATGTTTGAAGTTTTAGTATCAGTAAAAAACATTTTCACTTGTAAATAGTTTTGGTTAATATATGTGCATAAAGATTGTCAAATAATAAATAAGTATGCTATTTGTATTTTTTTTTGAAGTTGTTTTTACGAGTTTGTGATACAAATTTGCTTCAATATATGGACCTGTAAGCTACTTATAAAGGAATACTCTCCTTTACACAAATTTGGTGTAAAATGGACAGTTGAATGAGAATGTATCATGAAATTCTTTTACATGAGCATGAGAAAGAAGTGAATTCGAAATCATATTTTTCGGATTCATGACAAAGATGGCAATTTATTGAAAGAATCATCCCTTTAGTATTATAATTTTTTTATTAGTAGCTCGTTTGTCACATTCATTTCAAAAAATGGACATTATGATTTTTTATTAATAGTTATATAATAGTAAATTAACTTTTAATTCACTTACTTGATTTGTTCCAACCAAAAATTAAAGACCAACTATTGAAATCCTTTTAAAGCTTAAAGATGATGAAAACAAAATAATAGAAACACTTACCTAATTTGCTAAAACTATAATTTAAAACCGAATAATTGAAATCCTTTTAAGCTTGAAGATGATGAAAATAAAATAATTTCAAAACTTGAGATCAAAGAGGATCTTGCTGATAATGTGTTATGAGAAAAATCTGAAAATAACAATTATAAGAGAAATATAAGAGAAAGTATTTAGAGGGAGTAAGAAAATTTCATTCAAATATGTATTCACAAATGAAGTGAGAGACCTATTTATAGGCTAATAACCCATTGAATCATAATCCTAATCTAATTCTATATAAGAGTTCAAATCATATTATATTTCTTATGTCTTGCTTATTGGGTTATTTGACTTGGTTTGCACTTATTGGATCATAATATAATGGACATTTACATAGTTATTCATAACACATATCAAAATTTTCATTCTTTTTCTCTTAGGGTTTTAGTAGCACAGTCTCTTAAAAATTTAATAAAATTTTAAATTGAACACTTATAAAAAAAAATGTGAAAGAGGTTTTAAGAAAAAGTAAAATATTTTTATTTTTAATTTTAATAAAAGAAAAAGGGAGAAGAAAATGGAGTTGAAGAAAGATAAAAAATTTAAAAAAAAAACACATTGTGAGGAAGTCGGAAAAAATGATTTTTTATTTTTTACTTAATTAATTATTAATCACTTTTTAATTTTACATGGAGTGATGGCATTTGTCAGGACATGAAGTATAAATATATAATCACTTTTTAATGTTCAAGTCATCAACATAAACAGGAATTATAATAAATTCATATCTAAACCCTTTTATAAAATATATGAGTATATAGGATTATTTCTATAACCTTCTTTCAATAAATATGCATTAAAGTGATTATACCACATGTGTCTGGATTGCTTTAATCTACATAAAAATTTATGTAATTTAATTGAGTAAATTTCTCAAGAATTCAAATTTTTGTATTTCAGGCAATTTAAATCCTTTAAGGTTTTTCATATAGATAACGATATCAAATAAACCTTATAATAAGCTGTAGCTACATTCATTAAATGCATTTCAATCTTCTCATATATTGCCAAATTAGGTAATATAGAATTGTAATGACATCTACCATAGAGAATATATCACTTCATATTTAATACTAGGTCTTTGCGTAAACCTTATGCGACAAATTGTGCTTTATATCTCATAATCTCATTTCTCTAATTTCATATTCGTAGAAATCCCCATTTATATTCTATTGGTTTAATACTATTTGGTGTATGGACTACAAGTCTCCAAACTTCGTGTTTTTGTAAATAAATTCAATTTTTCTTTAATTTCATCTTTCTGCATTGGCCAATCATTTATTTGTTTACATTCTTCAATAGATGTAGGCTCAAAATCCTCATTTTTTTTCATAATATTGAGCTCTATATTATATACAAAATATCGTTGACATTTATTTAGCGGTTTCATCTTTTCTCATCATGACATAATTTATTAAGATTTCTTTATTTTCACTAATTTCAGGTATCTGAATTTCTTGTAAAATGTTTATCAATTATGTTAGGGGTCTTTTCTAGAGTTTCTACTTCCTTTTTCTGACCATCCTAAATATTTGCTCTTTTTATTTTTTGAGAGTTTTATCTTTAGAACCGATTAGTCTCAACGATTTTAACGTGTCTTGTTTTACAAGGACTTTAATGTTAATAAGAGCATTTGCAGCTAGTATATAAGATTTAGTTATTCTTTTAGGTCAATAAATACGTTTGGTAACGAATTTACTATATTGTGCAAAAGAATTATCTTTTGAAGTTTAAGTTCATATTAATTTGTGCGCGGATCAAAACTAGATAATGATAATTTATTCTAAGAAAGTTTATTTTGCAGTTGCTTATTTTTCTCCTCCTAATGTTAGAAAAATTGTTTCATTAATATGACAATTGACAAACTTTGTCATGAATAAATCTTTTATTGATAATTCTAAATATTTAATTACAAATAAAGATTCATATCCAACATATATTCCTAACTTCCTTCGAGGACCTATCTTTGTACATTGTGGTGGAGCAATTAAAACATATATCGCACATCAAAAATTCTTAGATGGAAAATATTTGGTTCATGACCATAAACCAATTGTATAAGAAGAATTTATAATAACTTGTTTGACCTAATGCATACAAATGCTACTACATCAAAAATGGTATGCCCCCAAGTAGACATTAAGAGTTTGAATTTCATAAGTAATAGTCTTACAATTAGTTGAAAGTGTTTAATAAATAATTTTGTTAAACCATTTTGTATATAAACATAAGCAACGGGTTGTTCAATAGTTATTCCAACTAATATGAAATATTAAATGCTTGAGATGTAAATCTACTAGCATTGTCAAGATAAATAATCTTGATTATATAATTAGGAAAATATGTTTGTAAACGAATAGTTGCAAATGCCAAATTGTAAACTAATAATAAGCACATATGTGGCCATCTAGTCAATGCATTGATTAAAATTGTAAAATATATAAATGGTTCACATGATGGATATATGAATCCACATATAACTTGAAATATTATTCAAAAACGTAAAGAATTCAATCTCAACTTTAGTTAGTGATAGCTTTATAATTTATTTACTTTCAGAGCAAGAACCATATAAAATTCACTAGATTGAAAAATCTTCTGGGTTTTCAATGAATGATCATATAAATTTTCAATCATTTTTTGCATTATTATTGATCTAAGATGGTCTAACTGATCATACTAAACATTAAAATCATTAGTAAACTTTTGATTTATTATGAGTTTCAATTACTCTAATATTTGTGTAGTTTAATTTTAAGAACATAGCAAGTAATTTTTTTTTTCAACACACACTTTCTACCTAAAATAATAGATGTAATATAGAGGTATTAAGTCTCTTTTTCATTCATTGTCTCAATATGATATCT